TGAAAAAGGCTGTTGGAATTTTTATAGGGATTGCAGTGGATCTATCGATCACTTTGGGTAGTATTGATATCTTAACAATGTTAAGTTTTCCATCCATGAACATAGGATGTCTTTTGACTTATTTAGGTATTTTAAATTTTCTTTCAGCAATGTTTTGTAGTTTTAGGTGTACAAGTTTTTCATCTCCTTAGTTAAATTTATTTCTAACTATTTAATTCTCTTGTATGCTTTATAAATGGAATTGCCATCTTAATTTTCCTTTTCAGGTTGATCATTTTTGGTCTATAGGAACACAACTGATAACATCTAATTTTTGTAAAGGAAGAAACAGGGGCTTAGAATAAGTTACTCAAAGGTTCTTGGCTAGTAAGGCCCAACTCAGGTCTCTAACTCCAAATCTATCGTGCTGCCTTTCTGAAAAGGTAGCTTATCTAGCCCCTTTCCCACTTTGCCCATTCCTTCTGACTTGATGCTCTTAGTTACAAAATAAGAAACACTGGAAAAAGAAAGAACTGATAACAATTATGCTCCACATTCTTAACCAGTGTGACAACTGAACCATAAGAAGACAACCAAGGCCTCAAGGATACCCATGGAGATCCCACAGATACTTTCGTGTTCATTCTTTTTGAGTGGAAGTCCCAGAGGCAAATCACAAAGATTCAGCATTGAATGTGTGACTTCAAAATGCCAAAATATTTTATGAGAATGACTCAGAAATCAAGAAGCTACTTGTTGTAAATCAAGTACTGTAATACATTGTCAATACAGGACAGCTTCTCATGGCCCTGACAAAAGGACTGTGTTATGACATGTAGTGGTGTTAAGACTCTTGAGGAACTGGGTAGGGAGGTGGCTCAAGCTCAGGGGAGGAGCACTTTGCTGCCTTCCATGCGTTTGGAGACCAGGAGTGTGTCAAATCACTCTCAAGAGTCTCTAAAAGACACTGGCAGTCTTGTTATGCCTGTAGAAGGGATCAGCTTTCTCTGGGACCCTGACTGCCATTCAAGAACCACCAGGAAATTCTCTCTTCCTCGGTCCTCACTGAATACTTTCCTTCCCAAACCTGCTGTCTGACAGGATTCCTGAATCTCTACCTCCTTCTGTTTCTGAGGAAACAGACACTTTAAATGAGTAGCCATGGCTGTTGTTGCAGCTGCCACTGATGGGAACCTGGCCCAGCAGCTATGGACAGTACTATGAGAATTTTCTCAGTTTGCCTTCCTGCTGGCCTTTGTGTAGGCCAGCAAGATTCCCAGAAAGGAATGCTGAAGCCTAGAGAACAAAAGTGGATGTACACACACACACACACAGAGGGAGGGAGGGGAGGAGGAATTAGAGTATCTTCTCTTTCCTTTTAAAATGAAGGAAGACAACACCTTAGGATCTCAATCCACCCTATTTTATCTCCAGTGTAAAGATACTATGTTACAATGAAATGGCTATTCCTCATATCTCCCAAGAAATTCCAGACAAGGAATGGTAGAGCCTTCATACTTGAAGAATTTTTAGGCAGAGAAGGTAAGGGGCTGCCTGAGCACTTATGTAGGTTCCTCCCTAATACTCAGAATACTGGGAAAATTCCACAGGGCTTCACAGCTGCCACAGCAACAATCAGATAGAAAAATAAGAGGCGAAAGTTCACAGAACGAAATGCCAATGTCATATCAGACAGCCTTCTCTATGGCTCAGACCTTGGACATGTTATAACAGTAATTTAATAGAAAAACAAACAAACAGAAAAAACAAACAAACCTGAAGTAGCTCATAATGTTCCAAATTATTTTTCCAGTGGGAATACTATGCCCTGATGACAGGCTATTCCCACTTCTTCCATAAGTCACCAGCAGCTTCCTTCAAAGTGGTCCAGCCTCTCACCTTCATAACACCTTCAAGTTGCCAGATTGTCCTTTAAACATATCACCCCTCTGATCAAAACTGCGCTGTTTTCTTATTGCCAATAGAATTAAACCTTAATTCCTCTGTATGTTAGCCTAGTTTTCCTATCAATCAGTTTCCCTGTTTATCCTGTACTATGTCCTGATTGCCAGGCCAGTCCTGCTTTGAGCCATAGTCATAGTTTCCTTCACTTGTAACGCCAGCTCCACGCGCCTCTACTTTTCTTACTCCTCCTACTCACAGAGATTTGAGTGAACTTGAGAACCTGAGTATAAATGTCTTAAGGCAGGAGCTTGTTGGTGTGTGTAAGGGTTCAGGGCCGGATTCAAATGTCACCTCCTCCACGTCTACCCACTCTCCCTGCTATAAATTCCTATAGCACACTCACTTCACTGTACACCTCGGTCAGGCAGCTTATTTACTGAGTGATTAAAATGCACGCCCTACTGCACTAGATGCTTTGTGGATACAGAGAATAGAATAAAGTCCCTGCCCTGGAGGAGACTTTGCTGTGTTGTCATGACCTATCATTGTTTCTTGAGGGAAAGCCTTGTCACCACAGTAAAATGCACAAGTTCTGTGAGGATATCATGCTTGTCACAATGCTGTGTATATCCTAGGATTTCAGAAGGACTTGCTAAATTGAATTAAATTCTCTCCCTCCCTCTCTCTCTCTCTCTCTGGCTTCCAATTGAGGATGGTAGCTGAAATGCAATCACTAATTTGCTATTAATGGCCAAACCTAACAGAACTAACTAGTCCATTTCAGCTGGGCTGAAGGGGTCAGGGTAGGGAGTGAGACAGGAAAAGCCACCCTAGTGTGTTGCCCCATCAGCAACACAGAAAAGTTGCTCAGTGCAAGTCCACTCTCCTGGCTCCAGGTGTAAACTGACATCAAGTGTGGTGACTGGCACAGGCAAGGGGGCAGGAGCGAGGAAAGGCAAAAGGAGCAGAGTAAGGAAGGAGAGCAGCCGAAACTTTCTGGGCCATCCTGTGAGCAGCAAGGCCATCAAAGATGGACTGGCTTCTTCTGGACATAACCAAAGACACGCCAGGGCCAGTCGTTGGAAACCACAATCCAGGCTTCACCCATTTGTAGTAATCAAGTCTTGACGTTGGCACGTTTGGTTCCCAGACACCTGCACCCACAGGGAACAGCAGCCGAGGCAGCTGCCTGAGTGACTCTGAGGTCGCCTCTGACCCAGGTCCTGAGCTGGAAGGATCTGGACCAGCGGGAACCCCAAAACCTGGTTCTTCTCCGTGGGGCCCCTGGACAAGCTGAAAGATCTAACCACAAGCAGAAAAGATTGGCGAGTTGGGGAGCGGGGCGGGATGCAGAGATTTCCGCTGACTTCAGGCCCCCCGTTTCCCCACCGTAACCCAGAAGAGTCCATTCCCTGCAACCGACCAAGTGGCACCATCCTCGGGTTAATCAAGGTGCCCGCCCAGTCTCGGTGCAGCGCCGGGACGCGCCGTCCGCCTACTTCCAGCTGCGGGGCTGCAGGCGGGGTCTCCAGCGCCGGCGGCCCGGCCCCTCCGCGCGCAGGGTCGCCGCGCCCTCGCTCCTCCTCTCTC